CTGTTTCTATATTTAATTTGAGTAGTACAAAAGTAGGATCAGTAATGTTAATAAAGTATATGACTATGTCTGTGATACTTTAACAAGTTTCATAACAAAATTAAAATACAAAAAAAAGTTAACAATTTTTTCTTAACTGTCAGTAACTTTTTGCCACTTTACATCAAACATTTGTACAAGGGGAAAATGGTGCTGGCATGTTTCATGTCTCAGAGATAAGAAGGTCAGAGGAGGCAGAGGAGCGCACAGGCATTCACTTGAAAGGCCTTTATCTGTAAAGTGAGTTTGTAAGTGAGAGCGAGAGAGGATGGAGCTCACAGTACAGAGGGAAACTGAGACGACAGCCTGCTCTAACACACCAGCTTGCTCTAAGAGGAAAACGATTTTATAATTTAGACAAGTGTTACTTTACCAGAGAGAAAACAGAATACTCATCATGCGGTACTATGAAACAAAAGTAAAAGTATCAGTGATGTAATCTAAATACTGTGTGTGATGTAACCAAAATATGAACCAATAAACCATAGTGTTTCCATTAGACTATATCAGAATTGTAGGGGCTGTATATACAATAAAAGAATCTCAGGTGAATGAATAGATAAAAATAGCATATATTTTGTTGACTTTTTTCTTCACCATTTTTGGTAGTTCCTCCTCTGCACCTCACCATGCATGTTGATTTTGTGATACTAATAATGCAATGGTAAATTTTATATTTGTAGTTGTAATTTTTGTATAATTTAAGTTTATCTCTTACTGTTTGCTTGTGCCTCATGATGAGATCATTTTTACTCTCTCTGTAAAGATGTGCACACCTTTAAAAGTAAATTGACTTTCTGCTGTTCTTACACTTTGCTGTTTGTGTGCACAGACTCCGAGCACCTCTTTGCGTGTCCCTATATGTTTGTGTGCGGTTTGTAGTTTGTGTTTCTGCTGCATGCTCCCCAGTAGAGGGCGCTGATTCTAACCACTATGTTCATTCCCTGTCAGTCCAGCCAAACACTTGTAGTGGATTTATTTGGAGATGCGATTTATTGCAGTATGGGTAATAGGAGGAACAGAACATCAGAGTTAATTGGGATATGCTCTTGTCAATAGAAAAAGGGTCTATGGAGAAGAATGAGATGGTTAGGGACATGTCAGGTCACCTTACATAAATAACTATAAAGCCACATTGTCCTTGCTGTGGTCAAATGAACCCTTTGTCCCGTTATGTCTTATGTCATGTCTGCTCTGTTGTGAGAGCTACCCCCTTCCCTCTCTCCCTCTTTCTCTCTCTCCCTCTCTCTTTCTCTTGGATTTAGGTGACATCATAGTAGTTTCCAGTAAAAGGCTTTGCAGATGCAGACCCTCCTCCTCCTCCTTCACACTCCCCTTTGAAATCACACAAGTTTCCAAAGAAAACAAAGCAGAATGTTATAAGTGTGTCAGGAAAAAAAAAGTTCACAACAGCTCAGCCTTTTTATGATGATGAACTTAGCAGAAGTGCGTGACTATTGTCTTCATGTTTTGTTTGGCACAATTTCTTATGATCAAGATGTACGGGGTTGGTCATTTCATACTTGATTAATACAATAACTAAACATTTCAGAATTGGGTCAAGTATAATTCTATAAGTTCTACATCTTGATATCCTGTCTGATATCTTTGGACTCAAGTTGTGAGTAAACAAACACATTAAAATTGTAGTATCATTGATGTGGTATCATTGAGGGGTTAGGTCTAAATTACGGGGTTAAGATTTTGCTTGTGACTCCAAAACATTTTCTCATCTGATGCAATGTGCATCCAAAATTCAGATTATTAAGTTTCTAAAAATGACAATTGCGAAGATAGTAACTCCAGCAATATAAGAATCTATTACAGTAGTACAATATTACATAAGGTCTAAGCACCTATAGCATTGCAAAATTGCCTTTATGGGGTCTTGTGTGTTCAGTTCATTGTTTCATTTGAACCTGTTCAAAAAGCCATGTAAAAGCAAAATGTCACTTGCTATAATATTTCATTATTGGGGATATAATAAACAAAAATACCCCCTAAATATTGTTTTTCATGCCAAGCTGCACTACAGGGCCACATCTCCATCTGGGATCAGTTAGAGCGTAACAGCAAAGCTTGGATTATCCTCCCTGAAGTTATTATGACTCATGCAGTATGGAGGTATTCAGGTGCCCCATTGCACACAACAGTTACATTAAATTAGCTGCGTCCCTCTTATGTCCCCCTCCGTCTTCATCATCTTCCCGGGCCCCAGTGCTGACCCCCTGGACCTAAGCCTTTCTAAGCCCCCAGTCGGTGAACCGGTCTGGGCTGGCTGTCTGTCTGACCCCCTTCTAATGAGAGGTGCACCATCTGTTGCTCATGCTAGGCTAACATGCCACGAAAACAACACAAAGAAATCAATAAGGCCTGGGTGCTTAAGAATAACCTTAGGTCAAACAGTTGCTTACTATGCAAAGTAGTACTTATAAACAAGAATTACAGAACATTTCTAACTGGACCTTGTCTTCTGTCTGCATAGATACATCAAATGGACACAGGCAGTGTGTATTTCAACTCTAATTGAACATGCAGAGCCATCTGCCATTCACAAGTCAAGTGAGAAGTCTGTGCGTTGTAGGAAATTGCGTAAGCGATCAACAAAGGTGTTAGTTTATGTGTTTTGGCAGAAATGTTGCTATAGCATTGATTTAGTAATGTGTGAATGTTTGAACTACTTCCAAGCTGTTATGTACGTAAAATGTATTTGAAAACATCATCCTTTGAGTCTATCCTCTCTCCTCCAAATTCAGCATAGAAGATAAAATTAATATTTGCACACTAAGTATATAAATATAAACAGTATGGATCCACATTTAATCAATAGAGATAGACTGATATATATCGGTTGGCTGATATTTGGACTTTTTTAGCATATCTGCCTCAGATCTCAGTGCAGGCCATAAATATCGGCAGACCTTAGTGGCCATTGGTTGTTCTGTATTGGCATCAGCATTGGCCTTGAAAAAACCCTTATTGGTCAAACTCTAAATTTAAACAATGAAAAGTTTGCACGAACTTGATGAAAAGTCTTTGAGAAATTAAAATCAAAGCAAAGAACTGAAAATTGTTTGATTGTTACAACCCAAATTACAGATGTAATCTGTTTTGACTTTAACTTGGTCCACTTTTGGGGTCAAAAAAACATGCAAAACTGCAAGAAAGAGATTTGGGAAATTTAAAATAGATCCTTCAGTGTAAGTTAAACAAATACAGGATGTCTGTGCTGGACCCATTTAGTGCCTCTTTGTTCTTTCTGACCTCTGCGTTGCCATAGTTCCCAATCTGCTGACACACTGCTGACCACTGATCTTAACACCCTAATGCACACATACACACTTAAATACCATTTTCCAGCAAGCACACTAATTATGGCACTACCCAATAGCAGCTTGATCCTAGTCATGCGTTCTGCTTAATTCTGCTGGCCTTTGGTTAGCGGGAATGGCCTATGTGAGTGCTGTAGGTGGAGCCCCAAGCACACAGCCTTCATCACAGAGCTGCTAAAACCATAAACCAGGCCAGCTCAAAGAAGTGGCTCTACACAGCGGGCCCCTCTGCCTCTTCACCAGTAAACAGTCGCACGTGCCGCTGTGGGCCGCACACACACACCACCAGATGGCAAGATGAGTTTCTGCGCCAGTGGACCGCCCTGGGACAGTGACTCCCTCCTCTCATTGATGCAACCCCATATTGACTTTTCACACCAGGACTATTGTGGTCATCTAATTAGGGCACAGATCTCAATAGAAAAGTCAACAAAGCTGTAGACTACACCAGGATGTTTTTACTGCAAGTCCGTAAACACCAAAGAACATTATAATGGTTTCAGAGGAAAAGAGAAGTCGGGGTGTCCTTAAATAAAGTAAAGCAGTGAACAGTGTACTGTTGTCAAAACAGATGAAGCCTGCTACAAATACATTAAGGAAAGGGGAAGCATAATACACATTTATTGAGCTGTACCAATATTGTATTGTATTATTATTATTTTAAATGACCATCAGTGCAGGTGAATGATATTAAGAATGTCAGTAAATAAATAGGAGGGTTGGGGGTTCACCAGACCATGTCCTTGGGCAAGACACTCCAGCCACAATGTCAGCTCAAGTCTGTATTGCATTTATATAATTACGCCTTATTTGATACCAATCTCTTGCTACTTATTTTGAATGTATTTCTATTTTTGCTTTTTGTTATTATAATATATTGTAATATGTGAGCTGCTGTGTACAAATAATTTCCCTTGTTGATCAGTAACGTTTGTCTAAGTCTAAGTCTGAAGCTGCTCGCAACAGAAAAGAAAAAAAATTATAAAAGCTTCAATTTCAAAATCAGAATACATAAATTTGAATCATTAATGTCTTCTGCATGTTTCCCCATTCTTCGCTGTTCATAACACATATTGTTTTATTATGTTATGCAACTTTGTCCGAATCCAAGTTCTCTTTTTTTCTTAAGTTGTCCATAAGTTGCGTTTGCGTCAAACTGTGAATGAAAAGGCACGTAGGTCACTGAACTGGTCTTGTCCGGTTAAATGAATCACTGGTTACTGTCAGATCTCCAGTCATCCAAACAGAAAACAGAATCCAAAGTGTGGTGAAATATTGGGACGTCACACATCATGGGCCCAAACGTGCACTTCTCAGTTTGAGGAGGGAAACAGGAAGAAGGACTGCTCACTCAGCCTTTTTACTTTTGTTCAATGGAAAACTCACAATCATCAACATTTACTTTCCTCAATTTTTTTCTCCTCTGGAACTTGTTTTTTCCTGCAAATGGACACTTCTGCATTTCTACAGAATGTCTGAGGTTATTGAACTATAATAGTTGATAGTTGCGGTTTGACGTCAGCTAACTGCGGATAGTGCACAAGAGCTCGTGCAGTTTGACAGCATTAACCATCATTATTGATTTACAGATGAAGTTGTATTAATGGATCCAGTCAATGTTATATGTTACACTGGGATGACCCTTTGTTGTTAACGTCCACTCTCACTTCTACAAATCAGGTTCAGATTTGGTCATGTTCGTCAGCATTGTTAACCCTTTTCCCAATTTCATCACATTTGTACATTCATGAACTTCCTGGCACGTTTTGGGGAGGAGTCAAGTGGCACAGTGGATAGTGGCAAGAACACTGATCTCACAGCAACAAGGTTCTGTTTGATTTCTGGACCAGGTGGGGCCTTTCTATGTGGAGTTTGCCCCAGACACCTGTTTAATTTTGAGACAGTCCAGAGCTGCTTATTTGCAGCGCACGTCTCTCAAATGAAGAAACATTTTCCTTAAATTTTCTTATATCATTCAGAACAAAATAACTTATTTTATCTCATGTTATATTTCTCTTATTGTCACCTGTCTATCACACTCATTAAAACTGTAGGACACAGTACCAGACTTTGCATATTTGTAAAATAGTCTAAAAGCATGTAGTCTTAGCTCACCAGGCAAGAGTTTGCATGTTGTCCCCATGCACAACCTAGCACAACTTGTCCCTCAAGGTAGTCCTGTTCATAAGAGTCCCCAGGCACAGCAATTACGGCTATGTAAACTGGACAAATTTCAAAACAAGAATTTAAGAATGTCTCGAATTAAATTTTAATGGGATTCAAAGTCAAGTTCTGTCAAAGTAATAAAACTGAACTATGGACCTACAACTGTGAACCTGTCCAAATACACCTACTTTTATGAGTTTTGTTTATCTCTCAGTTGGTTTCATAACCTCTTGATGGTGAAGAAAAGTTAAGTAAGCCACAGAAGGACAGTTATTATCAATTGTTATCAGGAACAATATGACAAGCTTAGTGTGTTTGGTGGGTCATTCCTTAAACATTATTTGAACCTGTATCTTACATAATTCTGATTCATAGGTCTGTCCAATACCATCAAGGCAGCCACACATAAGACAGGCACCTGGCAGAATGATGTATGCAAGATGATCCCAGCTTTTAGAGTGCCCTCACATCCAAACTACACTGTTAAACAATGAGAGGAAACAGGACCACACAATTTGGAAGACACGTCAGTCAGGATGTCAGATACGCAGCGCCAGGGGATCTTCTCCAAACACACGAAAAACCACACAAAAACCACAACACACTGGAAATTATTCATTAATTTAACATACAATGCTGACTGGATATACAGTGTCAATTAGATGGGTTTTAGTGGCCTAGTTTGCTATTCTGATCCTGCTTTGGTTTCACTCTTTCCTCAGCACATTGTAAACAGCTTTTTTTGCTCTCGTCTTATTAGAGTTGGAGCACATATGCATGCAATTATCCACTGTATACTGTATAACATAGAATAAGCTGTCACTGAAGTGGGTTTTTGGTAATAAACGTTATAATGACAAAACTAACTGCAAACGGCTAACCATCTAACCACTGTAAAGTGACAGGTCAGCAGCATACTGGTCATGCTGTCCTGTGTAATTTTAATTCTGGATAACTGTGACTAATAGCTTTGGGAAATGAGGCGTGCTGTACATGCCTCTCACACAATGTACAGTGGGCAATAAAAATATGTTATATAGCTATAGCTAATTGCCCAGTATTTTCCAGTCTTATCAGAAGCATTGCTGTCCTTGTGGTCCTAATGTTGATAACTCACATTACAAAAATAGAGAAGAAGTCATAGACAAACAAATATGGCAATCATAAGCAAAAGAGTCAATGAGAAAAAAGTCCATGAGAAAAAAGTTTTGATTAATTATGTTAAGTGTTATTACGTTAATTAGCATTTTAACTAAAGCTTTAATTTACTACGAATGTTTAGTTAACAGTATTCATGGAGACATGAATACTATAACAAATTTGTACTGGTACTGGAGGCACCTTTTCTCTTCCATGTGACTAATAAAAACACATAATCATATACACATTTGATTTGAATACACATTGCTCCTAGTGTAATTGTAAATCCCTGCATTCCCACAATGAACAACCAAAACCTCATAAACAGACCTTGAATGAGACACATGCCCTTCCAGTATCTTCACAATATTTTTTCTATAGACGTTTTATCAGTGACTACAATGCTATGTTTCCCATCACTAAATGAAAATAGTGCCATGGTAACCAAAACAGGAAGCTTGGTGAAGGCCACATCTGAATAAATGTGAGAGTTATAATAAAGTACTGACCCAATGGCGCGGGCTGCTCTCCGGAGACCGGGCCTGGTACCGCTGTAGGGCCACCCCCCCTTCACCCACCAGCAGCAGGGGGCAGTCCAGGTCGGGGCAGTGGTGATGGGTCTGGGGTCCCATAGCCCAGGGCAGCAGAGTGGCCAGAGGGTAGTGGGAGATCATGCTGCCCACCCGGATCATCGGCCTGGGTGGCACGGATGGGGTCCACAGTCCATGGTCTGATCTGGAAGGCAGCGTGGATAGGAAACTCGAAACCTTGTGCTAGATGAAAATAAAAGCAGTTCTTGTTTGTCCTCTGTGATCACTTCTAACTCAGTGCAGGTCTATAGCTCTCAAGTCATTAAAGTCTATTGTCTCCCGCCTTCATTCTTTCTGACCCCTTACGTTGAGTTTGGTCCAAAGGGGGCGGGTTCTCTGGTGGGAGGTACCGCCCACTTCAAAGCCAGTGACTAATGAGAGTTAGAGAGAAGAGGAATGTAGAAAGAGGGAAAGACACAGGAAAACCCAGATAGAGGAAGGATGTTTGGGAAGAGATTTGTAGAAATTCCTAGTAATTAAAACTGGTTGGTAAAGTTGGTCATGTTTTCGTCAAGATCAAAATGTATTTGAATTTTTAGGAAATTCGATTTTTAAATGGAAAACATTTTCTTATATTTCCACGTAATAACAATATGCAAAAGCATGTTTAAGTTCAAGATCCAATAGTGGTTGGAAATATTACAGGTTCTGCTGGTTGGTGGTAAATAAAACTTTTGTTTTATTTAATTTTAAACATTTGGTTTAGATCTCATTTTATCTTTGCTTTGTCTTTCTTTATGGTTTAACCTTGTTTAATCCAAAATTCTACTAATCATAGACATAATCCTGGTCTGGCCCTCATACAATATTTAAGACACATTCTCTATATTTCTTCTGTCTTATTCTGATCTATATTAAATCCATATAATCTTAAAAACGTGACCAACACCTAATCTAAGTGGATTAAGGACAGTGCACAATGTGTGGCTTTATAAAGTTACTGATTCAGCAGCTGCAGCACACTTATTTTTCACAGGGTTCAAGGGTCAAACTGAAATAAATGTGTAACAATCATAAGACACAGAACTACTGTATTTGTGACGCTGTGGTACAACCTCAATTCATGAGGACCTGCCTGCCTTAAGGGGCCAAAAATCAGATCCCATGATGTAAATCCTTTATTATTAGATCAATGACATAAAAAATTAAGGTATGGGTTAAAAAGGTTAAGCTTATATTAGGGTTAGGCAAGTAGTAACTATGTTTAAGATTAGGATCAGTCTAATGAATCTAAGTCAATATAATGTTGAGGGGAAAAAAAAAACCAACATATATGTGTGTGTGTGTTTGTGTGCTTGTGTGTGTGGTGGGGGAAGGATTGGAGTGTTTAGAAGAATTGAGTTCAAAGATATTATAGCAATAAGAATCAGTCATGTGTAAAGGTCTGTTGTTTCACAGGAGAGGATTATGGTGCGACCAGGCGATCAGTGTTCCAACAACAACAGGACCATTTTATGTGATTTGCAGAGATACTGCCACTCAATTCAAATGTTTATAGCATCTGATCTATAATTTGTGTAGTATTATTTACCTGACAGTTTAAAGGAAAGAAGCGGCTCAGTCGTTATAGCAGTTGCATGTAGGTCATCATGGTCGCCCTCTCCACACTCACTCCACATCTCCTGCTGTACTGTCCTGTCAAATAAAGCCTTAGAGGGTACTGTAATAGTTACCATTTTTACACAAAATTTCAGCATCTAAGGGATTTGTTGCCAACATAGAGAACATGGAGAACAATCAAACAGGTGAAGAGTTGTACAATATACAAATATACTAACTTCTATAACATAATTACTAACTAAATACTATTTTTACATCATCTACTACATGTAAGTAAACGTTTTTCTTCAGCACAGTGTAACAGTATTTCTTCAGACTGTTTATAATTAAAGGTGTAAGACACTTCACCCACCTTATCTGGTGTGAATGTGGATACTTAAAGCTCATTGCAATGCTTCATGCAATGTCTAGTATCATTCATTGCAAAGGGTATCTCCAATTGCACTTAATAATTAAGGCATTATTTACATTATTATCAGCCTGAATCCAACAGTGGCACCTTGGGTTAATATGGTGGAAAGTGAGCAGAAAGTTACTTCCTATGCCCAAAGATGAAGATTTGCTAAGCACAATGAAGTGAATAATCTGCTACTGCAAAAACAAAAGGCCATCCGGTACAGAGTATTGCTTCACCCAAGAATGACTGAACTCATTTATGATTGACAGCTGTCTGCCTTAAAAACAAAACACTGATGTGAATATAATTTCTTTCAAAATGATGTATGTTGGTAATAATGGTAGTTGCAGCACCAGTAATAATATCACTAGTATTTGAAAACTGTAGTACACTGAGTACATATTTAGAGTACCTCTTCCACCTCTGTACTGCTCTAGTTCATGGCTTTCATCTGACTCAGCATGACTCCTCTCTTAACAAGCCAAAATGCCATAGACTCCAACTAAACTGTTATAAATAGCATTGAGTCATGGCTGCAGACTGTGGTCGGTGAGAAGAACATCAAACATTAAAATGCCTCTGTAATCAAACCAGATAAATCAAGTGTCATAGGGCTAAAGCCATTTTGACCTGAGTCTGCTGCTGGGAATGAATGGGAGAATGATAGACAGGAAGCAGAAGACAACATAGCATCATGTTGACACTATAAAAATATTCAAGTCATTTTGTTTACATTGTTGACCTGCTTTAAGGGTTGATAACAATGTATGTGAGCTCTTGGTTGGTAAGGAGAAGTATCTGAGTGTGTCCAGCAACTTTCTGTTTTGAGTTGACACAGCTGTGAAGGCTAAGCTCTGTAAACTTTCACAACAACTCACAATGAAAATCCCCTCAGCCTTGGACAGAATAAACAACTCCCTTCTCCTGTTTTCATTTGTCTGCACAAACAAAATGGAGAGGAAATATGAAATAGGGAGACAAAAATTGCTTTCTCATATAGTGTTTAAATTATAAAGCTAACTTTATTAAGTGTACTTAAAGGTGAACTGCCTATCTTTTGGGGGCACCTGCTTCTCTCCATGGAGATATTATTGCTTTACCAGAAATGATAATATGTAGAATTTCTCTCAGAACAGATATTTTATTGCTCAGCAATACCTTGAAAAACATGTCTTCTTACTTACTTTCTTACTCAAGTCTCAATTTTGCCTGGTGGTGCCACTTGGTTGTTTCCATGTACATTAAATGCCATACTATGGAATATTCTAAAAGAAAAGCAATAACATCTTTGTGTAGACATGCTGGTAGCACATCTTCTACCAGAAATGTAACTTGGTGCACCTTAAGCTACAGTTATTTTCTGGGTACTGGATCATAAATGAAATGTGTCAAATATGAGGAATAATAATTTATTTGCAAGATTTAAATGTCCTATATTATGCAAAGGGGGACTTTAAGCCATGTTAGAATGTTGTTACCTCATCAAAATACGCCTGGAGTTGTATTTTGTTTCATTCACACATGTTTGAGTAATTTAACATTAGTCTGTCTACATCTCCAAAGCTCAAAATGCTCTGTTCCACCTTGTGATGTCATGACTAGCATAAATCGAAAATCAGCATAATATAAGCCCTTTAAATCATTATTAGTATTTCAGCCTTTGAATAATCGTTGATAATAGACCTACGTACCTTACAACCAGAAGAGTGACAGAAGATGAAGTGTGGAAGTAACAGCAGCAGTAGCGGCTAATAGTAGGAATTAGAAGTGGTAAACATCAAGTGTAAACTGTGAAACTGTGCACAATTTAACTTAAAAACAACATATAGACCTACTCATTTTACAAGGCTATTTTACACAACAACACTAAAATGTATGTTTAATTTACTCTTCTATTTATGTGTGTACGTGAAGTTGAGAAGTGTTAGTTGAGTCTTTGAAGTGAGGATATCCAGGATCCAGAGGTGTCACGTCAGCTTGTGTCTCCACAGCTTTCTATTGCTCTCTGTTGGCCATTTAAGGTACTACAACAATGAAAGCCGCAATAATTGGTTAATTCATCATTTGTCCCACTGAATTTTTGAAATAGCAGCATTATCTTCTCACATACAAGCTATTTATTTTAGCTCCTTTCACAAATTGCATAAGGCATAGTTTGCCTATTCACCCACTACGAGTAAAACTGAGGGAGTATTGTTTAAGCTGAACACTGTGATATTTGTGTGAATGGGGCTTTACAAAGGACGGTAGCGAAGGGGAAAGAGGAGGCAGAACAATTTCTTTTTCATTTCCTTTTCTTTTCCTCTGTGTTTCGTGCGGGGGGAGCGCTGTGATGATTACGTGGGGGCCACAGCGGTGAGTGACTCATCCAAACAGTTTACACAATACTGTCACTCATAAACCACAGTGCACTGGCATTGGATTGCACTCTGTCCTTCTGATGGAAAGGGTAACACATGAAACATTTAATGGTGCAACATAACTTACACAATTCTCACTAGATCCTCTCTCACATGAGTCTTTTAAGTGGTTTAAAAATAGCTATGTGCCAATTATAATAGGCTATATTTGGCCAGATTAAACTTCACTGAACTCCCTTTGTTTAGAAGCTTTTGATACTTTTTGACTCTACTGTTTACATAAATTGTGATTTCATACCAATATATCACCATTTAATTCATTATTACCTGGGCAGCCATAGACCTGTTAAAAATGGGATTCAAGCTAAATTAGGCCAAAATGCATCAAAATGTGTAATATTATTGAACGGTTTATCACACAGCAAGTATACTAAGAGTAGTATTTAGTCAGAAAAATATCTGTCCATTAGGCTATAGAGTAAAGGACATCAACAGGTGGCCAGATGTTTGTCTGTATAGTCAGAACCTAAACTGTGACACATTATTGTGCTTGTCAGTAAATGCCAACATAAATGTCATATGTAAATGCTCTGCTTTGATGCTAATAACTTAAAAGCATGACGCATTTGTGTCGGGCACGGGTGGCGTTATGCTTTGGTGAGATAAGAAGAGTCATCTCAAAGTCAGGGAAGCAGACTGACGTATTTATAATATAATGTCCTGGTACAGTAAAGAGCAGTTTATGCCTCTAGCCTTTATCAGGATGTATTCCTCGCAAGGCTCCAACAGCACCAACATAATCTTTATTTGTGAGTCTCAACAATGTCAGAAAAAAAAGATATGAGATAAGGCAGAATATGTATGAGATGCCTTTGGAAGCAGGTGTGGTGTTGTTGGTAAGCTTTGCACAGCCCAACTGCAATTCCTCAAATGACCAACAGATGGAAGTGCAAATCCATGTCTTCAATGATCAACAGTGTCTTTGGCGTGTACTAAGGATAATTCAATCATTTTCCTTTTACTGTAATAGAGAAAGTTTGACATGCCCAGACATCTGACTTACAAGAAGTAAAATAAGATACATCACAAGTGTGGAGGGGGAGCTGGTTTCACATGAATATAGAGGAAATAATAAAGGATGTAAAATGGACTGTTTGCTTGCTGTCTTATTGCATTGAAAATGTTTAATGTTACTTTAACCCAGTGACAAAAAGCTTTTTCCTATGTGAAGTGAATGATCACTTGGTGACATTGAAGGTCTCTTAACTAAAACTCTTAACCACAACATCAAAACACATCATTCAAGGCCCTCACACTCCTGGGTAAGAAACCACACATGTTATGCACACAGTTACAGAGACAGCCTTCAGATTCCTTTATTCCTCAGCTGCCCATTAAAAACACAACTGTTCTTTTAAATAGCAATAATCTTTATAAACAACACAAAATAGGGTTGTTTGGTTTCACATTTTCAACAAAATGGCAGTTGTCTCAAATGTTACAGTCCCATGTGTACATCATCCAACAGATTACAAATGAGATCTTTCAGTAGTTTGGTTATAAGTAAAACTTTACACAGTGAAATACACTGACCAGGCACAACATTATGACCACTGACACTGAATGAATAACAGACTATGCCCTTAATAAGGAATTACAATGATTGTATTTTGGTAGCACAGGAGGATTGAATTTGTTGATGTTAAGAGCAAGAATAATGGGCACACAACTGAAATGTTTGCCCAGTATCTGTGACTCAAGAAAAAAAAAAAAATGAAGCAGATTCTGACAAAGCATTTGAGTACAGGACTGGTTACAAAAATAAAAAAAACATTAAACAACACAGTAGTCACAATGTTAAGCCTGATATGTGTGTTGCAAGCATTTATTTATTCTAATTGTGATGATTTGGTTTCAAAACCAAAAGTGTTAAAATAAAATGTATTATTTATATTTTTATTATAATAATATTAATATAATTAATTTAAATAAATGCTTGAAATCATGCACACAGAATGTTGTAATTTTGTATTTTTTTTTGTGAGACTGAAATTCGCATATGTCCAAGTAGAGACAGATGGAGAATAAATAAATCTTTTGTCAAAAGAGCTGTGTCCCAAATTCATTGGGTTCCTGCTCTCATCGTCCTCTCTGGTAAGCTTCTTTGTAGATATGACTGTATGTAAAGTTCAAGTGTCTCTTCAAGTGAGCGTACACATCACAGTGCACACACAGGTTCATAATAGTCTCTCCTCCGTCACAGTTCGTCCCTGGATGCCCGTGCAGCAGGGGGCGGTGTGTCTCCTGTCACTGTGTTCTGAGCCACAGGCCTGATGCTACCCTGTTGTGAGGTTTTTCGTGCGTGCTGTCTATCCCAGTCTGTGGCTACGCTCTCGTCGTCCCAGATGGTGGATGTCTCTGTGTCACTGATGTAGCCTGGCTCTCCGGTGTAGTGTGTGGGGTAGATCAGCAGAGGCTCCACTGAGAAGGCCTTCAGGTCCCGGGGCTCAAAATGGGACATGTACTCAACACTGGAAAGAAGACAGACACACAGTGTTCACCACTTTGTTCAGCCATAACATAATATGAATTCTGTAACTCATTAATGTGGCCTTGACCTCTCTCCTCTTGTCTTGTTACCTTTTTCTTTTCTCTATATTGATACATTTCCATTTTTCACTTACTCCTTATTGTTTTCATTTTTGTAATATTATGTTTAGTGATACCTATCCTTAATGAAAATGCCCAACCCTAATTTTATTCAAGGGAGGCTTAAATTAAATTATTTAATTCATCTGGCTCCCATCTGGACGTGGGCTGCATTGTCCAGGCTGCAGGTCTTAGAAGAGGTAAGACCCTTTTGACCCTCCTTAATTAAATGGCTGTGAGACGGGACCACTGGACTCTACCTTTCTGACTCTGATCCACCCTCCTTTTAACTGCTGTGCAAACAAACAATATAATGTGCTTAAAGTACTCTCAGGGGATAAATAAAGTTATAAAGTGCACATCTGCACCAATTAGAAGTTGCTTATAGGCACACCCGGAATGTGTTTTTTAATGTTTTTAGTTATATGATATAAACTTTCAAGTTGTTATAGCAACATATTAAAAATGAAATCATATTTTGTGTAGCATCCTCCATGTGGTATAGTTTACATCGATGCAAAACAGATGGGATCAATAAGACCAAGTTTTCTCTTGTCTTTGTCACGTAATTACACAATTTATGACTAAGTTCATGAAAAATATGGTTTGTATTTGTTTACAGCAAAAGGCACAAAGCTATTACTGATTTAAGGCAATGTGTAGACAATAAACAAACAGGATCCAGCTTCAATAAGGGAAATTACTGAAGATGCTCATTATAGCTCATTATAGCATCAAAGCTGTCAAATGCAGAGGACACATTTCCTTACGGGGACAAAATAGTGTAACCTTAGTACAAAAAACCTAATTTAGTTTATCTATAAACCAATATAATCTATAAAACAAAATTATACTTTTATCTATAAAAAAGTCTACCTTAAAACAAATAACACAATCATCAACCTGAACTCATGTCTGTCAAGAAGAATACACTGGAACAACATGTTACACTATTTTGGTTGTTATTATTTTTAAACTAATGTGGTGTGGACAAGTCCTTTTTTAAATGTTTAAATGCATCTCATCTTATCTTACACATGTATGGTACAAAATATCAGTGCTTATACAAAACAAAAGCTGCAACTGTTAAGCAGTTCATGTTTTGCTTTGACACGTCCGCCATGTTCACCCTGGTCATCACAAGGGTCACTGCAAGGTCATCTCAGTTATCACTCCTTTGGGACTGGACATCTACCCTTTTATGACAAAAGAAATAAATATTTCAAGAGCATCTTCTTTCCAGGTGTTTCTCCTACTTTATCCTTCTTTTGTGAATGAAATGACTGACTACAACTATGACATAACAAACTGTATTTATGCAACACATGCCTAGTTAGCATTTTCCAGACTCGTTCCCACATTTTTCCCATTTTCATTTAGGGACAAAATTCTCTTTCTCTTAATATTTACACAGTAATCCATACTCTACACAACTGCTGCATAGTTATATTTCCCCACCCCCAAACCCAGCCGGTATCAATGGGAATCCTGTCCCCTTCTCCGGGCAGGAAGAGCCTCGCTGGCCCACATTCCTCAAACAGCAAAGGAAGAAGGGGGGGTGGAGACAGGAGTATATAGGACTACAGAACAACACAGAGGTCTAAAGACATATTAGAGAAATCAAAACAGAGGAGTGCTGGAGGTAATGAGTCTTAGGGTATGACAAGAATTTTAGGAGAAAGGAGAAAAGAAGCCATTGTGTGTCCTGGACCTGATGGCGTACCCACTGAACCCCAAGAACAAGCCATGCCCTGTGTTAGCAGGCACACAAGGAGAAGAGGGGGTCCAAAGAAAGGAGTGGAGATATATAAAGAATATAACCAGGAAGAGGTGTACAGGGCACAGGCTGTGGTCAACCACCAGAACACAAACTCCTCAGCATGCTTAGGGACACACATCACGTATGTAATTTCTGTGCTGTAATTGACTCTTTTTGGACACGTGAACATTTGCATGTCCAAAATGTGTATACTTATATAAGGCCCACACACCTGTAATAATAGACTCCATATGTGCTACATAAGGATCTTTGTATCTCTGCAACCCTCATCAGGTGTCTTAAATCAGCCAAACCACCGCTTTAAATAATATTTTACATTTATAATAATGTTGATAGTCAGGTGAGGACTCACTTGGGATGTTTGTCGAACATGACTGGCAGAAACTCATCGACAGGCAGCATCCTGGTGAAAGGCTGAGCGGCTAATAGTTTTCTGGCTCCCTGTTGTGACAGTGCGTATCCAAGTGTCCAGTAAGAATAGTCTGCCACGACCAGATTGTTTATGCCCTCAACAGACTTTTCTGGGTGCTGCACCTGCATACGCTTTCGGCCGACATAACTGTGAAAAGGAAAACATACTCTAAATATGATTGTGCTAGAGCTCATTTAAAGCTTAAAGACAAATATGTCTTACATGAGGTCCCAGTCCAGCTGGGCTTTGTCTATGTCCTCCATTATGGCCTGGAGCCGCCTCTTGAACCTGGGCTCAAACCTCACGTCATCCTCCAGCACCAGCACCTTCTGGAGGCCTCGCTCCAACACCTAAGGGTCAACCAAACAACCAGGAATGAGATGTGTTAGTTTGGATTATCTTTGATCAGGAGGACATCAGGAATGCCAAGTATTTTAAAGTCAGAATGTTTCAACTAAAGCATCAGCCATTAAATATATATTTTTTAAAATTATATTTTAAGAAAATATTACATTTGTACATTCTCATGCTTAAAACTACAGCTACAGGGCTGTAGCTGAGCTCCCACCTGTTTCCATATTGAGTGGTGGCTGAGGAAACATCCAATCTCTCCTCTGGTCAGCACTCGCCCAGAGTATGGGTCTTTATACCCGGGCATCATCTCTATTCCCAGAGCCTGCAGCTGTGATGAGTTCAAAGCCCTGGTGGAAACACAATGGTTTTGGTCATACCTGCATTTGCTTCTACAAACAGTATGTTTAAGGAGACAAAGCCGAGATGAAAAAATATTTTAGCATCATATAGTGTTACTTTATTATGTTTGTAACTCACTTGCCATCCACTGCCTCGGTCAGTGTTGGATGCAAACCAAGTGCGGACATAGATTTAAACATCCTGGTCCGTCTATCCAGTCTCCTCTTCAGATTTATTAGAAAGACCTAGAAAGAAAAAAGAAATAAACAGATGTAGTTGTAATAGTGGGATGCACAATATGATAGAGCAAAAAGAGTAAATAAATATATGAAAAAAATACATACTTCATCAAAGCCTATTTTATCTTGTAGTGAGGGTGGTGCATGCAGGTACTCCGATGGCTCAATGTCGTGGTCAACTGTAGAAATAGGTGAAGGGTTACAAAAGAAAAAACAGGAGTTAATTAAATTTCCTCTTGATTATGTTTGGTTTATTTGTGTGGGAGAGAGCAATGATGAAGGAAGAGTAGACAGAGTCACAATGCTATCATGCCGGGACAAGGAGGGTATACAGGAAAATAAACAAGCCATAGAGACACACAGGACAACCATCTGGAACAAGTGCGTTACACACTTACTCAGTGCCTCTGTGATGGTGTGGATAAAACTCTCCCTTTCATCGTCCACATTCTGCTGAGCTTTGAGTGGGACGGGGAGGAAACCGTAGTGCTCCCGGTTACACACGTACATCTGCACACCTGGGTGAACAAAACAAACGCACATGAGGCAGTGGAAATGTCTTCAGGTCACGTAACAGATCACTTACACCATCACTAAATCCTCATGGTTCAATACAAGCACAAAGTGGGATGTTACTTAATTTTAGCTATTTTAGTTTAGCTTAAATTTGTTTAGGTCATATTAGCCAATGCAAATAACTGTTGACATCGTAAATAGATTAGACTTGATTGGGTTAATTCCCTCCTATTGACGTATTTTCTATACAGTGCATGTCCAAATATTAAAATGCCACATTTTGTAACAAAGTAAGCATGTATTATATTGTACATATTAATAAAAACTTTAGCTCAAAGCAGAAAAACATGGAAGAGTAACAAAATGAACAAAGACGGAATTGTCACAACATTTCCAAACTACATTAATTGCAACTTTATGCACTGAGTACGTGTGAAGTTTACAGAGTGGAGCAATAATGTCTTTTAGGTAAGTAGGTAGCAGTAGTTTATTCGGTCATTTTGCAGCACTACAAAACAAAAACAAAACAAAACATAGATTACAACCCCATAGATCATGACCAAAAGGGTTTAGGCTGAAGTTAAAAGTACTTATAATGCCAAATCCCTTTTATGTTTTATAAATAAAGTTTGATTGATTGACTGATGTGCAGAAGGTGATGGATTAATTTCATTTAAAAGTTATCTTTAATCATCTCTGCAGATCTGCATCTTTGTTTGCAAGTTGCGTCAACAAAATAATAACTTCCACATCTCTATGTACATTGATTTCACAGATAGCGCTACAAAGAGGAATTTTCAATACAGTAAGATTTCTGGATGTTTGTTGAGAGCGGAGATTTCCTGTCAGACAAACCTGCCTGCCGTGCAGAGAAGGCAAATACCATGATGTCATCAAAGGCCCAGCTGTAGTCTGGGTGAGGTGGATGAAAGGCCAAATCCTTACTGGCCTCTCTCCTCAGGTCTATCAGGAAAGTGCTATGCACCATGGGCACAGGGAAGCAGCCCAGACGCTTCCACTCTCTGATGGGCTGGTAGTCAGGGGTTCGCTTGTAATAGCCCTAAAGTGTATGGAGAAAAATAGATTTGTTTCATGAATCTAATTTCATTGAAAAAAATAATTATTTTGTATTCAATGTACCTGAGGAGTCATGCCACACCAGAAGTTTGAGTAAAGAGATCGAGACTCCAACATCGGGGCGACTATAGTGAGGTTCTCAGCCATCAGCAGGTTCAGCACTTGAGGGTTGGTCAGGAGGTTGTCACTGTCCACAAACTGAAAAGTACCACACATCCACGTTAGGCGGTTCAAATGTTACTTATGCACATCTGGACACATTCACATTTAGACACGTTCACATCTGCAGACAAAAAATGACTTGTTGGTTGTTCCCCTCATACCTGTTGATATAATGATAAAAATCTACTTTGAAATCTATACTATATTTCACAGACCTTATTCCATTGACTATATACAATTTGTTTTTCTTTACTAACTAAATGTTTAATATTGCAATGAATATGTTATAATTATAAAAAGGTATTCTTACCAGTATGTAATCAGCCCATCGTTCTCTAGCTGCTTTCAGCGCAGCCTGCCTCAGCTTCATCACATGGTTGAACCTTGAAGGAGGCCAGTGCTTTGGACCCCACTCATCCGTATATGACCTGAAACACACAAATACAAATAAAGTGTGTTTGTATTTAGCATTACAGTGTATCAGGTAAATGAAATAACTTGAAGTGTTACTGACTTGGGCTCCTCCATTGGCCTCCACTCCACGTAGTGATAAACTCCTTGGGCTTTCTTCAGCCATCCTCTCAACATGGCTGTGGTGTTGTCTACATTATGATCTGTCGCTGCCCTGGAGACAATAACACATAGTCAGGCACATTACATAAGCTCCACTGGAATCATGGTTATCTGCTCATCGACAATATTATGACAAATTACTGCATAAAAAATGGAAGTACAAAGCAGACACTGTTGACAGATTTATTGTTTAAACATTTCACACTTCACAGCTGAGATGCAGTTTCTCACACAACTGTCAATCCTACATGTGGTTTCAAATAGTAGCTGAGTGTAAGTTCTGAAGAGATCGGGACTTTAAAAGAGCCCATTCTGCACTACTTTTTGATGTATGTTATAATGTTGTTTCCTAATCACAATGATTCACACATGTTTAACACACAAACCCTTTATATTTAGGCTGAGTTCTTCTCTCAAACAGAAAACACTCTTTTCCACCTTGTGGTGTCATGTGGTAATACAGGAAGTTCTCCACTGTGTTTTTAAACCCCACACACCTTCACTAGAATAATTTGGCCTGGAATTTCTGATCTCTACTAAGCAAAAGGTAAAATGTCGGTGAGATTAAAAGATTACTCAAACGTGTGAATAAAAACTCATATCCGTTGAGTTTGTTTAATATAGAACCTCTAAATTAGAGAAGGGCAAACATAACACGTTGTTGCTCAAAATGGTTTTTATAGACAAATACAATAGAAAACAGCACAATATGATGTTTTAAAACAAATACAGCGGTATTGATTTTAAATGGGATCATAATAGTGACTCTTTTGCAAATCAGGGAATTAATAGTTTCAAGCACTGATAAAAAGAAGAAGGCCATCTAAAACCTGAAATCAGGCATTTAACGGTAAGATTATGGTGCAACATTAGCTAATTGCTTTCATGTTAAAATAATGAAATATTTCACTCTGTATGTTTAGAATGTATACAGGTTTCTATTTGAACAACCAAACAGACTACTATGTCATCAAAAGCAGATGATGTTGAATGTAGCACCATGGTACTGTGGGTTGCTGTTTGTTCATAGAGATTTCCACTCGAGCTCCCAGCACTCACTCAGACAAGACTGCCTCTGTGTGTTTAATTTTAGTGTGAGATTCTAAATCTGTAAACAAGCACTCATGGACTTGTACACTTCTGTGGAAAATCAAACAGGATTTGCATTTTTTTCAGTGCATTTGCATAATGATATTTGTTGCCTGCTACCTGTTATGTGCAATGGTTTGTACACAAAAATAAAAAACACACTAGAACAGAAAATTTCCACTGCTTGATGCAATATGCCTGGCTCTCCCCTCTCTTCAAATATAAAAGTTTTATACCAAAGGACACAAAGATGGAGCACAGACCCTCCAGCTGCCTTTCTCTTTGGGGATGATTGAAATTCCAGCCAAGTCTAATATGTGTTTATTGCAAGAATGCATGCACGTGGGCTATTGACATGCTGTAATCGTTTCTATACATTAGAAGCATACGTGAGCCAACAAACAATCAAAATATCATCTCCTGCCAGGATTCCTTAATGTAGGCACTAAATTGAATAATTTACACAGTACATTAATGAAAAACAAACAAGAATGTTAATAGATAAGTAACACCAAACAGTTATAAGCTATAAAACAATGGTTTTCAAACAAAACAAAGAAAATATTTGGCTTTCTGTGTACCACCTGATCAAAACCAGGTCCATAGCATTAGTTTTGTCTGGCAAGTTACAAATTCTACTAATCCTTATGCAATCTTTGTCCACTAAATTTGTGATTTAGAATAATTTAAGTAGTAATTAGTAATTTTAAAGAAGTTCAGTGAACAGATTTCAATGGGATCCAGGTGGCTTATAGGTAACTTTCACATTAATTTTAAACACAGTGCCTGAACATGCTTTGCTAATGTTAGTGTGGAGCGACTAGAAGAGCCTGTTTATGTGAATGCCAATGGACACAGGTTACAGACCTTTGAGGTTAACAGGCACAAAGACTGCTTATTTATGTGCTACTTAAGTGCTGCTTTTAAATGTTTACATGTATCTGTCTGGCCATGTGTGTGTGCGTAAACTGCAGTAAGAACAGGCAGGCACAGGACTCTAAGTGCCTATAAGAGTCACTGCAGACGACTGTTGCTTTATCATAGGGCCCTAACACCTGACTGAGAGGTAATGACTACATGCACGTTTACATGTCTCTGAAGACAGTGGGGTTCAGGCTATACCGAACACACTGCAGGAAATAATTGTGCTACAACATGCTGTTTCCCAATGACAGAGTGCTCCAGGGTAGGATTTAAACTTTTGGCAGCTAAGCTCAAATGAAAAGGTTTGGTATGCAGGTATGTATAGGAAGACCTGGTGAAAGGCAGTTGTTATTTTAGTATTTTACATAGGATACAGGATTTTTAAGAACATATTGTACCCAGGTAAGAGAAATTTGTTTTCATCAGTTAAGTCTTATTTGAAGTACACATCCAGTTTCTTTTAGGGTTCCTAATCATTTGCCTCAAAGGCCTTCATAGGTCTTTCACCCTCTCCATTTATTCATAAAATTACATTATATCACACTTGCTACTAACCAAATTCTGTCATCAGGAGATAATATATTGAATGTATGTACCTCAGATTTGATGGCACACGATTTTGGGGGGAAATTTAGAAAATATGTGTTAAGAAAGACTGAATTAATTTCACAAAATGTAGAGGTCTAAACTACGGGTACAACAAGAGGATGCCAAATTAATTACAGGGGGCATTATACTATGTAAGTAAGTACAGCTTTTGCGACTTGACAATTGCCCCAACTCAAATTCACTTTCATAGCAATATATTGCGCAGCCCTATAGCCAAACTGTGTTTGCAGGTGTTTGGACTCATCTCAAGAGCTTTGACATTGTAAATAAGGACATCTGTGTTTTAAACTGCTCAATACTCTGGGCACTAATGTATGAATCATTTTACCACTTTTATAAGATCTTTCTCACAGATGCATTCAGTTCCTCTGTAAAAAGGTTATGTTTTTTCTTATGGAAAATGAAAAGTTGTTACGTATTCATAATGCATATCAATTTACTAACAAATAAGACTTGTTTCAGAGGTGTGTGGTGTGCAGTGGTTTGTATATGTAACTTTTTTAACTTTCAGCATTCACTTTGCATGTAGCTGGAATGACACAGACGTTCCCTAAGTGTTACCACAGCACATCCTGCAATCTGCCCCTCCTCACAACAAGCTGTTCCAGAGCACAGACACATTTTCCATTACTGAATACAGGAGAAAATTTGAGATCCATACATTGGCTTTGTGTACTGTTTGAAAGATGTAGCAGCTATAATAACTCAGGGAAAAGACAGTGGGAACTTAGCATTCTTGCTGGGTTGTGTATATTCAATCTATATTTTAATGCCATTGCCAGAAAAAAGGAGAATTACTCAAAGTCAGTTGAGTTTCTCAGTCAAACTTTCAGTAAAGACATATGCAGCAGATATGATGCATAGAAAAACTATCTTCTGTCTACTGATCTATTTTTCTTTTCTTTCTCTCAAAGCTTTCTGTCCATCAACAGGCGGGCCCAGGCCAGTTGTAAACAGTCACACACATGGCTGGCTAGATGTATTATCCATACTCTGCACCTCTCCCATCTCTGGATCACTGCAGTCCTTTGTTTGGAAGTGCTCTGTAGATTCAGGCTCATTATCTTGCTGCCTGCGGGGTTTGGCTTTACACTTCCTCTGTTCCCCTTTCTTTAGAATTGCATCTGGACAACACATGCTCAGATCTACACTACACCATCTCAGAGCACCTTTACAAAATCTATGGTATATTTAGAGCAATTATTCTGCCGGATGCAGTCCTCTTCCATGTGTCAGCAGGAACTGGAACCCAGATCCCTCTCACATGAAGCCCAGATGCTATATGATAAGCTATCATCATTTTGTTAGACTACTGTACTAACACCACCTACCTCCTGGCACTGTAATCCTTGATCACCAACATCACACAGATGTGGCGTCCTTCCTTTCCTTTAACCCATTTTAAAATATTAATCAACAAATATAAACAATAATAGTTGTTGTGTTATTACATTACAATTGTGTAATTCATTCATTGGCTATTGCATATTTACTTACCACCAACATCACCAAAGTTGCAGTCCAATTTACACATTCATACAAACAGTGGTCTTGCATGGATATAAACTGTTGATCTGAACTCCTTTCCAATCTCATGGCCTTGTACAAAAGCCTAATTGCAACACTTGTGCACATAGTTAGACATGGCATGTGTAGAATATGCATTTCAAGATATTTCAATAAGCTGTAGTTGTATATTAAAGGGCCTATATTCTGACATTTTCTGATCTATGTTATAATGTTGTTTCCTCATCACAAACATACCTAGAGTTTTGTTTTGTTTCATTCACACGCTGAACACATGAATCCTGTATATTTAGGCTGAATTCCTGCTCTCAAACAGAAAACACTCCTTGCGATGTACAGGAAGTGCTCCACTGTGTTTTAAAACTCCATACATCTTCACTTGAATAATTTGGATGATTTTGTGATATCACAAGGTGGAACAGAACATTTTGAGCTTTGGAAATGTAAACAGACAAATAAACTAGGTTTACTCAAACAAGGGTGAGTAAAACAAAAAAACAACCCCAGGTTTGTTTTTGAGGACATAGCAGCATTCTAACATGGCTTAAAGCTCACAAGAGTGTAATTATATTGCGTAATATAGAACCTTTAAAGGGGACACATACATTGATTCTACACCTATAATTACACGCCACCTGGTACGCCCGAGTGCAGAAGTGTGTCATTCAAAGGGTCAAGAGTGTGTCATGTGATCTCTGACACCTGGCCCTAAACATACACGTGCACACACACACACGCGCACGCGCACACACACACACACACAGAGCCCTTTAAGTTAAACACAAGTCTGTCTGCTGCCACAGTGGGATGGAGCCAGGAGAGTGTTAGTTCAATAAACTATCCAATATCACTGCAGATAACAAGCTACAGTAATTAACCACAAAAAATGCCCTCTTTCAGACC